GATACTACGCCCATTGTTCAACACATGAGTCTTATTCACAGCAATGGAATTAGGCCTATGAGAACTACCCACACACACTTCATCGATAATAGTCCATCCCAAGTAGAGTTTTTTCGCAAACGACAAGTCTGGGGGTCCAAGTTTTTGTTCGATCACATGATGTGCTTGGATCAAATCCCTTCGTATGAGAAGCAGAATCTCGGCTGTATGATCCAATTCAGGAATTAATGGTGCAATATCCAACAGGTGTTGATATGCAGACGCCACTTCAGGAGTCGGTATTACCTTACGATTGTTGGGAATCTCGTCGCATTCTATAATTTTAGGTAAGTACAACTTTTGTTAAGCTGACACAGGCTCAATGACGAATACCTCTGCTGTTCTTCCAGAAAATGTAACACTTCCACCGCAGGAATTCAACTTAAAAAAAACACAGTCATTCCCCTCTAACCTAATGTTATCAAAAAACTTAGAACGAGCTAAGGTTCTATTGCTCTGATCATCTATCATAGCATAAGTTCTAAAAGTAAGATCAGGTCTGTTAGATGGGTACATGTATACGTTCACAAGGACAATCTTCCCACAAGATCTTCCAACTCTATCCTTCCCACACAATTGGGTACAAGAGGACGTGATGTTTTCATCTCCCTTCCCAGACGGTGATTCCTTAGATGAACTCTCCCAGCCATTCTCTTGCCCAGTGTCTCTGTGAAAGTGCATACATATAACATGGCGGTCGCTTTTACATACATCACAACTCACTTTAAGTTTGCACTTGTTGTCCCTATGCTTTCCCTTGCAGCAACAGTAACAGAGTTCCCTACATTTCAGAAAGTTCACAGGATGAAAATCCACCATTCAGTCGACTGAATGGTGGCTGAATGGCCACTGAATGGTCACTGAAAGGTCACTGAAAAGACCCTTTCCCGTGACCTTTCCGTGATCATTCAGTTACCATTCAGTCGACTGAATGGCACATACATTTCAGTGACCTTTCCGTGATCATTCAGTTGAATCTTTTTATTGAATAATCGGCTTATTTTTTTACCTAATATAAAATTTTATTTTCCTTTTTCCTGGTATAATAGCATTAAATGTATCTAATTCCGAATTTAAAAAAATAGGAAAAAAATTAATACAAGAAAAAAAAAATTTCTCCCATGCCCAGAATCGAACCCTGGTCTCCTGCTCACGTGTCCGCGACCTTATCAATTACGCTACGACTTCCAGTTGAGAAATGAGGATTTAAAATCAATAAATTTATAGAAATCGATGCAACAATCAGTTCACCTGTTGTATCGAGGAGCGGCGATGTGTATATATCTTGTATATCTTTTGTATATTCTATGTTAGTTGCGCGGAATTTGGGGACAGACTAATTAATTACACATCTCCTATCGGGATGATGACAATTATCAGAGACGGGCACCTGTTCCTGTGTCTAAGATTTAAGATCGTTGTAAATTCTCTTTCTATAAACTTAGTAGAATGATTTTATTAAAGCAATATCATTTAGAAAGATAAAATCTCCTATATATATTTTTTTTCTACAAGAGGCATGTATAAACGATTTATATATTCTTAAAAATGAATTTAAAATAATGTCTTTCAAAAACTAAATATCCTGCAGTTTTGACAATGACATGATTAAGAAACGAAATTGATCAGTAATACTTGCGATCTTCCAGAAATGGTTTAAATAATATAAATTCTGTCTCATCAATCAAAACTATATATTTCCATGAAAAAATACACGTATAAGCACTATAGAATGTTATGCATTTATTTAAATTTTGAATCGGTTATCGGATCATCATTTTTTATCACTTGAAGAATTTTTGTTTTCTAAATGTAACTAGAAAATTAAAAATTATTTTGAATAAGTCTCACATATTTTATGAAATTATAATAATTACTTAGACATATTTTAAGGTACCCGAATTTGATCACGATAAGTAAAAAAGACACAATTAAGATTGAATAATAAATCTTTATTCAAAATATTGCTTCCTTGTTAAGGAAAAATATCTGATTATAAAATAATACGCTAGTGAAAAAATTGCTAAATTGAGACTTAAATATCACTGAAAGGTGGCGGAAAGGTCACTGAAAAACGACAGAAAGGTTACTGAAAGTCGACGGAATGGTCACTGAAAGACGACAGAAAGGTCACTGAAAGTTGACGGAAAGGTCACTGAAACACGACGGAAAGGTCACTGAAAGTTGATGGAAAGGTCACTGAAAGTTGATGGAAAGGCCACTGAAAGTTGACGGAAATGTGTCCGCTGAATGGTGACTGAAAGGTATCTGAAATGTGACTGAAAGGCAACTGAAAGGTCACTGAAATGTATGTGCCATTCAGTGGCTGAATGGCCACTGAAAAGTTACTGAAAGCCGCCTTTCAGTTTTAACTGAAAGGTCTTGTTTCTTCCTGTGGTTGCGTTTATTTTGGAATGCCATTGCCAGAAAGGCACTGCATTGTTCCAAGGGATGGTCAACCCCTCTCACGTTGGTGAGTATTTGCTGAACGTATGGATAGTGCATATCTTTTTGATTCGGGGCCCAACCATTTTGTCAATAAATCAATTTCTTCAATTGGCGATACTTTCAATTCCTTCAGAATATTCCGGAAACCAACTTTCCACACTGTATAGTTTTGCGCCGAGTCATCAAAGGCCGAGAAACGATGTAATAGTAAATCCTTTTTTCAAAAGGTAATTACTAAGGTCAACTATAGGTGACTGTTCATGAGATTAAACATGACTGGCCATTGGAAAATGAAGTCCTGGTTGAGTGATGCTTGTTGGTCTCGAACGACGTGAGGCATCATCATGTTGAACATAGTTCGGTGTGATTTCTGAGTGGTTGTTGTCCTGAGAGTTCACATAAGCTTTAGTTCTTTCTCTTGCCGTCTGTTCCACACTTTGTTCTTCAATGTCAAATTGAATACTCCTTGAGATCCACGATCGTAATTTTCCATGGCATTCACTTCTGCGTTTGCCACAGCTGCTGCTTCTTTTTTCTTAGAAAGCCATATATCAATATCAGTAGCTGCCTTTTGTTTTTCCAGAACCGCCTGCTCTTCCAAGAATTAAGTCTTGTTTGCTGGGTCTCCGCTTGCACTCGTTTTTTGAGTATCTCTGATATTGTCTTTGAGGCTTGTGATGAAGTCCTGGATTTCACTTCGAACTTCTCGGAGAGTCGTTCGGCTGTCTCTAATAATCTATTATGTAGGGCATCTCGAAAGGTGAACACTATATCGGAATATGTGCTATACTGAGACTCATGCTGCTCCAGTTTCTATAGAGTTTGCTCTGTGCGTGATCTTTCAAGGAAGTTTGCTAGGGCTTGACTTTCTTAAAGATACTGTTTGAATTTTGCATTTATGTGGTCTTCTGTTGTCCTTAGGTATTTCCTGTCTGTATTGTCACCATCATAATTTGCGATGAGGTCCTCTACCTCCCTCCACGCGCTGGTGCACTTTTCTTGTAGATCAAGGAACGTTTGGTCAAAGGATGCCTGACCCTTCTCTGTAAGAGTCCGAACCCTGAATTGTTTATCATCCTGTTCGTCTTTGTCTGCCCAACCCGGGAAAATGCAGCCTGTATTTGGACGGTAGGGTTTGAAGGCTTTAGAATGCTACAATTACACCCTGTCGACTTAGGACTATCCTTTCGGATAGGTTAAATAGTATTCCTATGAGAAACGTAAAATGCACTGATGAATTCCTTGCATAGGGAAATCAAGGGTTTTTTTTTACAGATGCGCAAGGTAGATAATCGGAATTTTACAAAAACTGGTTGATGAAATATGAAATTACATGTTTGATTTCAATACTCCAAAATACATTCCAAATAATAGCCCCAGATTACTACCAAAGTTAAAGCAATATGGGGGGGGGGGTTACCGTCATATGCATTTCATTAACTCATGAATTACCAGCAAAAATCACGAAAGATTTCGGGAACTGGTTGATGAAAGATGAAATTACATGTTTGATGTCAATACTGGAAAATACATTCCAAATAATGGCCCCAGATTACTACCAAAGTAAAAGCAATATGAACTGCATTTTTGAGAATTTTATTTTGCAAGTAAATTGTGATATTATGATTAATTTGAATGTAGTTTAAACCCTTATGATCAATAAGACCAAAAGAAAGTTTTAAAATGTTTCATCAGAAAAATTTCAGTGCAATCAAATATACAGTATTATATAAGAAATCATTATTGTACAGGACGACAATAATGTAATTTTGATTCAATTAAAGCTTAATAAAGAGTTCTTCCATGGCAAATATGAAGAACAGAAGTTTATAAATGTTCTTTTTTTCTGTCATTGAAACAGTTAATTACAAATCAATTACAAATTTGCAACAAAATTTTAATGTTAATTTGTAAAAATGAATTGCGCCTACCATCAATATTTAACACCCTTTAAATAATGTTTCAGCATGCATATATGCAAAAACAAGCTTTTAATCTTTGGTCAAAAAGATGAACATATCATTTCCAACCAAGAGCAAAAAGAATATATTTAAGTTAGGGTTGTTTTTAAATGTTTTGTTAAAAACAGTCCTTGTACATGTACGTATAATGTTTAGTTCGCTTTACTACTATTTAGCATATTCCCACTTTGAAATGTCAGGTAGGAAATGACATTTTATTTGGCAATAGGTGAAGTAGTTGTGTACACAAATGCTTAACTAAATAAAAATACATATATTATACATGTATTATTACTGTATAAATAGTGTTTAATTAACTTCTGTTGAGATGGAGGATGAATGAATCTTAATTATTTTAAAGTATGATTTTTTTTATCTATGTTTGGAAGAAAATTGAAATTGTAAACATGTAAATTTAATTTATTGTATTTACTTATGTCAAAAAAAAAAAAAACACAATGCACACTATCGAATCTCTGTAGGATTTATATTATCCAAATATTTTCAATTTTATTCTCTCAGTTTGATACATACAATAAAATTTAAAAAAATCAGACATCATTTATTAGATTAAAATATGATAATATTCTTTAGTTTAAGTAAAAAAAATCATAAACCAATTTATATTGTTGTTTCTTTCTAGTGTAGTATTTTAAAGCGTACAGGTAAATCTAAGTTGAATGTTATTTACCTATTTGCTATGAAACAAATAAACTATAAATGCATTTATTATTTGCAGGAGGTAGTAGGTGGAATTGTTACTTTTAAAAAAAGGAAATAGAATGAAGACACTCACTTTTCCTGAATTCATATAATAAAAACAATTCCTCAGTATATGCATTTCAACATTTTTTTAATGTATATATATTTATTAGTCTATTACAGAAACTATTCTGGACAAGAATTCACATTTGGTGAGGTGAAAGAAAACCTGGCCTATTGTGTCAGCTCTTTCCATGAGTGCGGAGTTGTTTTACCAGTTTTACCCGAGCCAAGTATTTTGTGCAATTATTCAGCTATTGTTTAGACGTAAATTGTTATATCGTATTTAATTATTTGTTTGGAAGGAAATAGGTCGGGACTTTTTAGCTCACCTGAGCCGAAGACTCACGTGAACTTTTCTGTTCAAATTTTTTCCGTTGTCTCACAGTTGTTGTTGTTATAGTTCTTGTCGTCCTCCTTAACTTTACACATTTTCAATTTTCATCTTCTTCTCAAAAACCACTGGGCCAATTTTACCCAAACTCACACAAAGTATTCTTGGATAAAGGGAAATAACGTTTGATCAAATTGAGGGCAACGTCCTCTTCCAAGGGAAGATAATTATGAATTAGTGAAAAATTAATGTCATCTTTAAAAAATCTTCTCAACAACCACTAGGTCAGGAAAGATGAAACTCATTAGGAAACGTCCTCAGGTAGTGTATATTCAAGTTTGTTCAAATTATGACCCCTAAGGGTATGGTGGGGCCATGATGAGGGGTGGGGTCAAATTTTAACATAGGAATACATAGGGAAATACTTTATACATCTTCTTCTCAAGAACTACTGGGCCAGGAAAAAAGAAACTCATGTGGAAGTATCCTTAGGTAGTGTAGATTTAAGTGTGTTCAAATCATGACCTCCCGTTGGGATCCGGGTTAGAATAGCCATTAGGTCCTCAGTTCCCCCTTGCTTGTCATAAAGGGAGACTGAATTGGGCGGTCCTTTGGATGAGACCGTATAAACCGAGGCCCCGTGTCACAGCAGGTGTGGCACGATAAAGATCCCTCCCTGTTCAAGGCCGTAAGTGCCGAGCATAGGCCCAAATTTGCAGCCCTTCACTGGCAATGGTGACGTATATCAGTGAAATATTCTGGAGAGGGACGTTAAACAGTATACAATCAATCAAATCATGATCCTCAGGGGTATGGTCGGGCCACATGCAATGAGTGATCAAAGTTTAACATAGGAATACGTAGAGAAAATCTTTAAAAATCTTCTCAAGAACCATTAAGCTAGGAAAGATGAAACTTATGAAAAAGCATCATCAGGTAGAGTAGATTCAAGTTTGTTCAAATCACGACCCCTAAGGGTACATGTATGGTGAAGCCATAATGGCGGGGGTCAAAAATTAACATATGAATACATGTAAAGGGGAAATCTTTAAAAATCTTCTTAAGAGCCACTGGGCCATGAAAACTGATACACTCATGTGGAAGCATCCTAAGGTAGTGTAGATTCATGTTTGTTTAAATCATGACCCCCAGGGGTAGGATGGGGCCATAATGGGGGAATAAAATTTAAGTAAGGAATATATAGGAAAAATCTTTAAATTTCTTTCCTCAAGAATATCAAAGCCATGATTGGTCTTAGTTATATGGAAGCATCCTCGTGTGATGTAGTTTAATGTTTGTTCAAATCATGATCCCACTTAAACCTACTTTTATTTTGAAATTTGTGCTGATTTGTACATTCAGTTTTACATTGCCAAAGCTCAGCTGAGCGATGTGGCCCCTGACACTCTTGTTTATTTCAAATAAATACTGCTCAGCGTAAACTTTTATGAATAAAATAGCATAATTTTGATAGAGTGCTTTAACACGTCTGACTCCTGTTGGTACCGGTATGACTTTGCTTATGATAAAAAATGGAATGGATGCCCTGATGGAGAAAGGTACATCAAGAAAACCAATTTCACATCAGCACCAATAGTAGGAGTTGTACGATGCTCTCAGGATAGGTGAGCTAAAAAGATTTTGTCTATAGGAGCACACTCTGTCAAACATTTTTTTTTTATCTTTTAAGTGCTTTATTTAGTAACTGTATTTTAAAAAAAAATATTAAAAATGATTTAAAGATATCTAAAAGGGTTGTCAAAATTTACAAATATAATTTAAAGTAGCATAAGATTCTAAACGTACGTTGAATTTTAAACAAACTATAATTATTATTTTTATAAAATTGAATATATGGCAAGTATTTCTTTTCATGCACAACAAAAACTCAAAGTTAGGATATTCTGATAAATTAAGAATAACTTTAAAGACAAAAGACATGATTGAAAATGTAACTGTGATATAGGTTTCCCGTGCAGTGCATTTTAACATACATTAATCACTGTCACATACCAAAAATCAACTCAAAATCTATCAGAATGGTTTTAGAAAAAGTGTTCGGAAAAATCTTAAAATCAAAAAGGTTTTAATTTCCTAAAAAAATTAGTGAAGCGGAACAAAATTTCCCGTAACGCACCAAGATACATTCACACACCAAAGGTCAGCTCAATATTTACAAGCAAGTTGATGAAACAAAAATATCAACAGTCTCGTTTAAAGTCATCATTTCGTAAATACTATGGTCGATACAATAATTAGTGCATTATTTATATACTGGATTGACGACGGATTTTTTCCGTGATTTCCCGAACATGACAAGGAGCACACGGCGGGTGTGACCGTTCAGCACGGGATACTCACTCCTCCATGACACCTGATCCCAACTCTGATGTTTCGGTTGTCCATGTATGCTCTGCTCCTATTTCGTATTTGTTTTATGGACTTTGATATTGAATACCGTTCGTTATCTCCATGTCCTTGTTCTTGCAAGCGTTTAGGAAGAGAGAGAGAGAGAGAGAGAGAGAGAGAGAGAGAGAGAGAGAGAGAGAGAGAGAGAGAGAGAGAGAGAGAGAGAGACAGACAAACAAACGGACGGATGGACAGACAGACACAGAGGGCGGATAGGTTAAAGTAACGCACTTTAGAAAAGGTGTTACAAAGTTATCCAAATATACTCCTAAATTATAAGTATTCAGACTCTAGGCTTATAATTTTACAAAAAAATTGGAATCAAACATTTCAAATAAGTTATTTTACCTTCTTTTGTGATTTTTCCTCATTTAAAAAAAATATTTATATACAGATATCAGTTATATTTGGGAGCCAGTAAGACAGGCATATTTCTTAATATTGGTGATCGTAATGGTAGCGGTGAATTTATTTGTAAACTTGTTGGAGGACAAGAAACTAGAATTTTAACAGCGAATGACTCTGACAACGCACCAACAATCAAAGGTATTTTTGGTGGTTACAAATAGAAATTTATTGCTTAATACTTTCTTGAAATATAAAGTTACATGTCACGATTAGCTTTAACATACCAACAGAAAATGAATTAAAAAAGTGTACAGATAATACTTAAATAGTATAGTCTGTTGTCTGTTTTGTAAGACTTCGGTTATTTCTTACCTGGGCTATATTTATGTTTTGTACCATATTTATTATTAACATGCTTTTGAGAGAATAAACTGGAGTGAAATGAAATGAAAATTATGCATTCAATCCAATTACATGTACTTATAAGATATTTTTTTCAAGAGGGCTGAATTTAATCAAATGAATGATGTGTTATTTCAATTATATTTTGAAACAGTTAATAATGATAATGAATTGTTTGCTTATCACAGTCATTCGGTTTTCTAATTAAGGAATGTAAATTTTATTTTAACAATTAATGTTATAAGATATATATAACAAAATCTCTGGGCAGTTTATGCTTTAGAAATGGCGAAACGGTTTATATAAAAAATGCCCAGGTTGATTTATATCGTAAAATATAGGTTAAAATAAACTTCATAATTATAATTTAGTTCCCTAATAGACAGACAATTTATAATTGAGAGCATTTTTAAATGTAACTTCGGACGGACTAATACGTTTAATACGTAAATCATTGTGACGTAGGTAACTTATGTTAAACTAAATCTTTAATCCAAGAAAATGACCTGTTACAACTAAAATTAAATTATAAGAAAATATTAATACATTGTTTTTAATCTATATCTTACTTGCATTGCCAGTTTTATTATTTGGTCAGGTTATTGTCAATGGGAACCTGGTCAAGAAATCGCTATTGGAAACATCGGTCCTGGATGTTATAGTAATTCCTGGTATCAATGTGGTGTGAGTATTCCGTCTGGTGAGTACGTTTTCAAAATAAGACATAATTTGATATTAAAAAGATAGCTTCCTTGTAAAAATATTAAACAATCCAGTCTAAATTCCAATATGCTCGGAAATATACTAGTATAAAAATTTAACAAAACCGTGCAAATGCGTGTACAGATGTCGATGAGGATAAAAATATTGAGAAATTCAAAATCTAAATAGCTGACACACCTAAAAATCCTTTAGAATGGAAATAGGATCTTAATAATAAACAATGTTTAATTTTGTTAGTATCAATTATTAGTTGGTCGTTTTAAAGGTCTATAGTAAACTGAGTTTGATGTGTTTCGAGTTCATTTCAACGTATAAACGTCTGCCCTATAAATATCAACCTAACTATACATCCACCCATCTTCTTTTTTAAGGCTGGTACCAGTATAACGTATCTGTTATAGACAATGGTTGGAACGATTGTTCTTCTGGTGTGTCGTACGTGCGGAACTCGACTATTGACTCTATGCCTTTTGTTGCTGCATTCGTCTGTAACAATCACGGAAATATGAGGTTAGATATATCTACTGTTAATTGGTTTGATTTTTGCAAAAATGCATTTACCCTTGAATAAGAAAAGATAAAAAGAAAAATGTTTTAATCTCTATAATTTATTTGACAGATATAAACTTTTAGGAGGTTCGAGTTTATCTAATGATTTTATGGAGATATTCCGCTGTCACCATTGTGGAAATAATTGTGACTTGGTATATGGTTACCCCTATGACGAAGTGTGTTCTACTACGTCTCTTAATAGAAATTGCAGAGGCCACTATGCTCAAGGTTGGTGCAAGTTACGGTGAAATACGAAATATACATACATTTTAATGAGCGTGTTTTATTTCAGAACCCTATATGTTGTATAGCCTGCATAAATTCCTGAGCAAATTAACATATATTTGACACTATAATGCATTCAATTTTTATGCAGAGACGGTTATTGCCAAATAAGGCATTGAATTCCTTTCATGCAAGTTGACTTTAAAAACAATAAATAAATGAAGCTTTAGTGGGGGGGGGGGGGGGTTCCACATATACAAATTCTAGTTATGGTTTGTCAAACTACTGATAATCATTATGAAAGAAGGATATGGAGATAACGAACAGTATTCAATCTCAACGTCCATTAAACAATATACAAAATAAGAGCAGAGCAAACAGAGACCATTTGAAACATGAGAGGTGGGATCAGTTGCCATGGAGGAGTGAGCATCCCCTGCCGACCGGTCACATCCGCCATGTGCTCGTTATCATGATCAGGAAATAACGGAAAAAATGACACCAAATCTGACACCAAATCTAAATCCACAGCTTTCAAATAAAAATAAATGATTTTTTTGCAAGTCTACCTTTTCAATCACAACTGGCATAAAGTTCTCCAACACTGAAAACTGAGCTTATATATATATACATGAAAGTTTTATCGAAGACATTCAGAAGCTCATATAATTTCAATTTTGGTTCATTTCAAAGGGAAATTGTATTCTCTTTTATTGTGATTGATATTTTTGATCTACATGTTTATTCAAAACGTAGGTTTATCTTTTTATAGCTGATTTGTTTTTTGATAATATTTTTAGGTTATTGTCGAAACAGTAGTCATTTGCAGTTTAGTTATCGTCCTACTGGATGTCCCTCCCAGTGTACGTGGTGGTACACACTCGGCTATATTGAATGTGGAATTGAGATTCCTTGAAACTCTGATATATGAAATATACAAGTACAATTGTAGGACATCGGAAATAATGCCATGTCTCCATTTTTGTTTTATAGTCTTCTTCTTTTTTTTTTTATAAGTTTTGAAAAAGGAAACAATGTGTCTTGAAATTGTGGAAAAATTTGTACATTTAAAAATATATATACATATTGTGTATTTTGTTTTTCAAAGGACAATGCAAAAAAAAAAAAAGAAAAAAAGACCAAAAAATGATTTCGAAATAATTATGATAAAATATTGTCATTTTTAAAAAATTAAAATGGTCTTTTTAAGAATCCTTCTTTTGTGTTGATGTAAACATTTATTAGAAAACATAGTCTTTATCAGTGTTTATTTTCATTCTCTTAAACCAGGTATCCAAAAGTTGCGCTAAGCATACTCGAAGAAAGATTGAAAATTAAAAATAAGTGACCAAAACAAGAAAGATGTTTTAAAACATTCTAAATGTACAAAAAGTATTCTAGAGTTGATATTAAAAGTTTGGGTTTCAGATTGACAATATCTATGGTGTTTATGAAAATCAGGGCATCTTCCATAAAACTATTGGAATCCCAATTTTGTAGCAAATTGCGTCCTGTTTTAGCAGACCCAGTTTTTGTATTAATATGAAATAGAATATATTAACATATGTATTTCAACATGAGCTGTAAAATATCATTTATATGCTCAGATCGAAGTGAAATAAATTCAAAATACATATCCGAAATAAATCGATGAACAGGACAATCCGTAAAAATCAGTCAGTAAAACGAACAATGATTATGAGAAGGACAACTTTCGACTTAAAACTACTCGGAGACATATATATATAACACACAGACTCGAAAACTATAAAATGTTCACAATTAAAAAGGATTTAAGGAGGGCAACTGGGGTTTTATTGTGTGAAAACTACAGTAGCGAATCTCTTCATTTTTATACAACATATAACTTGCATTAACTTCAGTGTAATTGCAAAGCTTGGGCGAAATCTACCTTTCAGTTATTTTTGAGGGGCCGTCTCAAAACACAGGTACATTTACTATAGGATTATATAGGAAAATGCCAATTTTTAACATTTTAAAGCAAAATACACAAATACGACAACATACTTTTGGTCAATCTCTCATATAATATATGATGAGCAACACATTATTATGCAATATATGTAAGAAACACCAACTTCTACCGTCTTGTTGCCAGAGGGGGCATCTCAAAATGCTAAAAATTTTAAAAACAATTTTTACTGTTTTTATAGAGTACTATGAAATATGACAGACACAAAGAATTCATATGAAAACATAATAAACGTAATGGAGATATTCTCAAATGTCTATATTTAAAATTTCAAGAGCGTATGCTTATTACTTTTTCTTTAAGAACACTTTTATTAATCATTTCTTTAAGAGCTTCAATTTATCATAAGGTCAAAAACACACTGTAACAACGTCAATCTACCTATCAATTGCAAAGTCGGTTGAAAATCAGTTATTTTGTTTAATTTTAATAACTAAGCTTTGAAACAGTATATACAATTCATTTTACTAAGGATGGATATGGAGATAACGAACAGTAATCAATATCGAAGTCCATAACACAATACAAAACAGGAGCAGAGCAAACACGGACCTTCAAAACATCAGAGGTGGGATCAGATACCAAGTAGGAGTGAGCATCCCCTGCCGACAGGTCACACCCGCCGTATGTTCATTGTCGTGATCGTGAAATAAAAGAATCCGTCGTCAATTCAGGGTATAAATAACGGACTAACAATTGGTATGAAAAACGTCAGTCAGCATTTGACTCAATGATAAATTGTACTTGCTGACAATGACATTGTATCGACCACAGAACTAACGAAATGATGACTTTAAACGAGACTTCTGATATTTTTGTTTCATCAACTTGCTTGTCAATAATTTATCTCGTTTTAGAAATTGTTCGTACGTAGAGCATGCTCTTGCGTATAGAATTAACTGAGATATATACACTCCATATGCAGTTTATAAAGGTATATTGCTGCATAAATAAGGTAAGTTGACGATAGAAAAGTTAAAGTCTTCACGTTTATCATATAACTTAGTTGTTAGGTTACCATTATCGTCTTTTTCAAGTAAAATATCCAAGTATGAAACAGATCTATCAGATGTAGTATCTTTTATTTCAAGCTCTCCTGGTAATATCGTATCGACGTAGGAATGGAAATTACAATTGTTAATTGACAATACGTCGTCGATATACAGACACGTGCCATAAGTCACCGGCAAAAATGGCGTCACGGCTTTTGTTTATGTTGTGTTACGGGATGGATTAAATGGTAAATAAATATAATAAAATGACATACATGTACCTGTGTTTAGTATTTTGTCATTTCTCATTTCACCCTGATTACTTTTCTCATACGTCTTGGCAAAGATCTGTAGAGGCCCTGCCACCGTCATTTTAAAGCTTGTGATATTGCACGTGAAAGTTCGGCAGCAGTCCGAATGTTTTTAGCGCGACATTGCAATCGTCTTTTAAGTTTCAACCACATATTTTCGATTACATTCAGTTCGGGCAACTGTGCTGGCCAGCTTCTAGAATGAATTCTATTATTCCTAGCCTTATAATTTTCAACATCCCTGGCTCTATGTATAAGGGCATTGTCATCTTGAAATAAGAAATGTCCATTTGGAAAGTGTCGTGCTATAACGTGGCATAAATTATTTTCCAAGATTTCAATGTACTTGTGTCTGTTAATAGTACCGTCTACAGTTGTTACAGTTCCCACACCATGCCAGGTAATACACTCCCAAATCATAACACTGGCCTTTCGTTGAGGTGGGGGGCACACGCACTCGGGAGACTCGGCTTCATCCTTACGACGCCATATGAAAATCCTCTGATTTGCACCCAAAAAAACTTGTCTTTCGTCAGAAAAAATGACTTTATCCCACTGACCATTCACATTCCACCTGACTTTACCTCTACACCAGTTCAGTCTCTTTTTCCTGTTCACTTCCCTCACTCTCACTTTCTTCTTTACAACACGTCTGTGATACCCCTGTCGATATAAATATCGCTGAGCTGTTCGTTGGTACACCTGTCTGGGTCTGCGTTGATTGAATCTGTTGGTTAAATCACCCAAAGAAATTTTACAGTTTGTCCGAACCAGCCTCACTAAACTTCTTTCAACCCTGAGATCAAGAATCCGTGGTCGCCCGCTTCGACGTTTGTTTTCCGTACTGCCCCTCTTTTTAAATCGTACTATAACATCGGAAACTTTTCTACGACTAGGTTGAGTGTATCGGCAATGTGCTGTAATGTATATCACTCATTCCTCATTGACACAATAATATTTTTCAAATCAGAGTTCAATTCTTTCCTTTTTTCTGCCATTTTTGAAACTGTAAACAATCTATTAAAAATACTGCAGACGACAGTCCAGCTTCCGGAAATTACGTAACAAAGAATGTGGGGGAATTCCAAAATACTAAAAATAGAACAGACAACAACACCGTTTGAAGATAACCAATACTTTTATTCTACGGTAATTTTTTAATTCGCCGCCATGTTGAATTTTTGCCGGTGACCTATGGCACGTGTCTGTATCTGAAGGTAGAGTTGAAGGCCACAGCAAGTGTTTTATCTTTTCACGCATAAGATTTTTCAAAAATTCTCCTTCATATGCATACAAAAATAAGTCTGCTAATAACGGAGCGCAATTGGTTCCCATGGGAATTCCAATAGATTGTTGGAAGACCTATTCTCCAAAAACCACATACAGATATTGTCAATCAGAAACTCAACAAAGATGCGCGAAATATCGGGGGTATTGCGCAATGGAAACCACAGTCGACCCCTTAAATCAATTACAGTACCGACCAGACCCAACCTGACACAAAGCAGTCCCAGAGCAGTCCCACGGCGGTCCCAGCAGTCCCAGCGGTCCCAGAGAGCAGTCCCAGCGGTCCCAGAAAGCAGTCCCAGCAGTCCCAGTGGGTGGGGTTTATTAATTTACTGGGCGGAGCTAACTCAGAAATGAGATTTCCAATAAACAATGGAACTATAAAAGGCAGTAGAAATTGATTCTGGGTAGTATGCCAGGAATTCTTACATGTACGCGAAAGTCATTTGAGAACAATACGCGCATAGAAATTGAAATTATGATATTTATTGGAGGAAGAAGGCTTTCACACCTACATGTACATATATGAACAACACCGAACATGAATATTTAATCACAATTATCGGATATTTATTTAATAATTATTCTTTGATTGATACTGGTTCCCATATTTGTTTTTTATACAGAAAATAAAATGTGAATTAATTATTTTCCACCAGTGAGAATAAGCTTTAAATAGATCTTATCATTATATGGCCAATTTCCATACTATCGGAACATCGGGATACGCTAAAGGAATATTCTAAAGTATTGTGGCTTTTAAAAAATTCTTCGTAAATTTTGCCAAGTACTATTTTTCAGTCATGATTATTTTTACTGACATGTCAATGTCAATTATCGTTAATTTCTCTAGATCTATAAAACTCTGTTCAAGTGTTTTATTTATAAATGTTAGAGTGTACATCTGTAAATCACCAGAATGGAAGTATGTTCAAAATTAATTAATCCCGAAAGAAATTCATACACATTTCATTTACCACATTTTTTCGCATTACATAAACTGAAATTAGGGTCATTGTTTACCAGTATGTTCAATGATGTGTAACGCTGATACAAATACCAAAATAACACGCTTTGATTTTCTGCCCGATTGAAACCATGGGTGTTGATACCATTTAATAAACATTAATCGGCCGGGTAAACACTAGCAAAACAAAGAAAGAAATAAATCACAATTCCCAGCATTTTCAATTTTTTCTTTTAATAAATGTACTCTTTTAATAACCTGTTTATAAATTAAAACTACCGGTTATTCATTAATTAATACCCCAATGATTATTCACATTGATTATGTTACGGAAGAATGGTAGCATAATTTTATTTTATGGTCATTTTATAAATTGTTATGTTTTATTTGAGGGTAACATTGAATACTCCTTTTTTAGCGTGGTCCTTGAAAAACGTGTAGCTTTTTTCTATCAAGAAATCTTATATCTATATAACTGTAATGATTATTTTTAAATAGTACCAATGCAAATGTTGAATAAATAATTTTAATTAAAAA